CTAAGACCCTTCTCATTCAACTGAGAGCATTCTAAACAAAGAAGGTTTCACAGTAATTTACATATTCTTTCTTAGGCCTGATCACCCTGGGGAATCCGCACTTCTCAGTACCGAGCTGCACCACCCTGTCATTGTTTCAGGCTTAGGTGGAGCAAGGGAACTAAGGCAACCAAGAGATAAGGATATTTTCTCCCAGATGCTGAGAACTCAGGCTATGTCAAAGCCGAGGAGTGAGGGTCCATCACCCCCTTTTGCTGCAGCCCCCCAAGTCCTTCTTTTGGGGGGCCTCCCAAAGTGATCGTGCCTGTCTTAGGTCGTTCCCCCTGTGGGGAATCTTACCCGTCTTTGGCTAACCGACCAAGCTTTTTGGGGTTCAGTTATGAATAAAGCAGCAGAAGCAGCATTCCTGCCAGGAAGATAAGCTTTTATCTCCTTGCCGGCTTACGGTTCCAAGGGCGTTCCCTTAGCCTTAGCTGGGGGGGGGGGGGGGTTCAGCCTCTGATACCAGTCAGCGCAGTTCCCACCAACCTGGAAGGTTATCAGTGAGGAAGGGTGAAGGAGAGGGGAAAATGGGGTAAAGCTACAGGGAATAAGAAGCATAAATGGCAGGTACAGAATAGACAGGGAGGTGTTAAGAAATGTATGGGGAATGGGGAAGCCAAAGAACTTATATGTATGACCCATGGACATGAACTAAGGGAAGGGGGTGGAATGCTGGTGCAAGGTGGGGTGCAGGACATAGGGCAATAAAAGGGGGGGATGGGACAATTGTAATAGCATAATCAATAAAATATATTTTAAAAATAAGGAACATAGATGTGTGAAACAGACACTGGCCTGCAGTGTCTGTGGTGTTATGGATGAGATGAGATACCTTCACATGACTACCGAGTCCTGTGGAGGAAAAGAGAGGGCTTGGCTATTCTCTCAAGGGGAGTGTGCCTTGGAGCAACCTAGCCACTCTCTCAAGATAGCGCACCGACCCTTGCCTTTACAAGCTTTTACTGGATTCAATTTGCACAGGAATACAGGTAAAGCTCATTAATCATTGTCAGGCAGTAAGGATCAAACAATAGATAACATACAAAGAACTACGAGGGCTTATTCTGAGTCAGGGTCAGTTAGCTAAGGGGCTACAAAACTTTGGGAAACAAACTCTTTTCCTGCTCCGACCCTTATCATTTAATTGAGAACATTCTTAGCAAAGCAGGTTTCACAGGAGTTTATGTATTCTTAGGCCTGATCACCCTGGGGAACCCGCCCTTTCCAGCACAAGGCTGCACCGCTCTGTCATTGTTTTAGGCTTAAGTCAGGCAGGGGAAGTAAGGCAGCCAAGAGATTAGGAGACTTCTTGCAGACAGAATGAGAACTCAGGCTATGTCAAAGCTGAGGGGCAAGAGTCCATCACCCACTTTTGCTATAGTCCCCCAGGTCCTTCCCTGAGGGCCTTCCCGTGATTGTGCCTGTCTTAGGTCGTTCCTCCCTTGCGGAATCTTACTCGTCATTGGCTAACCAATCAAGCATTGGGGGCCAGGCAAGGTGAGCTAAAAGTAGCAGAAGCAGCGCCCCTGAGAGGGAGATAAGCTTTGTCTCCTTAGTGACTTATGGTCCAAAGGTTGCTCACTCAGCCTTAGCTATGGGGGGCTTACAGCTTCTGAAACCAGGTAGGGCGGTTTCCAACATTTGTGTGAGCCAAGGACTAGGGCAACAGTGTGGGGATTGCCTGAGGGAATGGTGGGGTCTGGGTGGAGTGTGGCACAGGGGGAAAAATTGGGACAACTGTGGAAAAATTGGGACATAATCAATAAAATATAATTTCTGTATATTAGGTAGAGCTGACTCTACCTAATTATTTGACTTCCTGTCTTAGTAGCGTGGCCTACTGTAGAAAAAGCACCTCTAAATTGTGTGGGGCGGAGCCTTAGGTAATCACAAAGTGGGGCAACCTGTTTTACCACTTTGTGGCTCTGTGTAGAGTAGGGTTTGGAGAGGGGACAATGCCACTGCTTGGCCTCTGGAGATTTTCCCAGCAGGAAGCTGTCCCCTGGCACTTGCCTAGTTGGAGTCACTTCACTTTCCCCATGTGCCATTTGCACCCTTCCAGCTGTTGCCTTGATGCTAAATCCCAGGGCAGGTGTGTCTGCATAAGTCCTGAGACCTTTGTGTGCCCTTTAAGAGGAGTCTCCTGAGAAACCTGCTGTTTCTTCCATCACTCCAGCCCCCAGTGGTGTTCACAGCCAAGAGTTATGAGAACTTATCTTCTTGGTGCTGGAACCCAGGACTGGGTGGTATGGTCTGGGGCTGGGATTGCTTGCTTCTGAGGCATCTCTCCTGATTTTTATCCACAACATGTGAATGTGGGACTGCCTGCTCTGCTGCCTTTCCATGATTCTCCACATCTCCGCTCCTTCTACTAGTCTGGATGAATAAGCCTTCTTTAAATCCTTGGTTGTTAAATTTCCATACAGTTTGCTTTTTGACAAATCTGAGTGATACTTATTTTGTAATTTAGTTGTAATTTTTGCTGTAGTTGTGCAATTAGGGGAGCATGTTTATGCTTCCATCTTGATCAGAAGTCAAAACATAATTTCTTTTAAAAAAGACTGGCCTTATGCTGATAATGTTGAGGTTGGGTGATGAACATAGGGGGTTGTTTATCAGTTTACTTTATATATAGTTGAATCTTTCCATAATAAAAAGTTAAACAAAACTAAATTGCCTTGGAATAATTCAAGGGAAAAATTCATTTGGAAGGTAGACATGTGGAATATAAAGCTCATTGAAGCCTATCAACTGACTGAAGCTAAAATCTTAACTCCTGAGTTCCCCATCACTGTCTCAGATGTAGTGCCACATTCTCCTTGAACCCTTTCCTGATCTACCATCTCTCCAGCAGAGTAGATAATGATCTCTCCCCCCTCTATTTGTTCAATGCATGCTATTTGTATCTTTCTTATGGCATTCATTAGATTTTGCACTGCTTTTAATTTTCTGGGTTATTATATCCTTTCTACATCCACAGATTGTACATACTTGAAACTGACTTTATCTTCCTCATCATTGTGTCACAGTACCTAACACAATACCTTGTACAAAAATACCTTTTTGAATTAAATTGGATTCCCATTTTGTTGTTTCTAATTTTTGTTCTAATCCTCTCTTAGAATTACAATGCTATTCAGCTATTGCCTACCATGTAATATTGTAACTTTTATAATCTTTATTTGATCCAAAAATATTACCCAATACTTGTTACTTTTTAGTTGATAAATTGTTTTTCAACTTAAGCTTTAAAAGTATATTTTTAATGCATTTTTGGATATCTTGATCATATAGATACAAGCAGTAATATAACATCCACCCACATACAACAATGTTAAATTTGTCATGATTATTTCATATCCCATTAAAAGAAACCCTCACAGATATATGAAGCCTTATAATTTCATTTCCTTGTTGCCTTTTCCAGAGGTACAACTTTTCTGGAATTGATGTATATCCTTCCCAACCCTGTGTTTATAATTTTAGCAGATATATATGTATACATAACTCAGAGTCTTTTTTGTCGTTTTAAAATGGTATGTACGTGATGTAGTGTTATGTATTCCTTTGCAATTTGCCATTTTTCCTCAGTATTGCTTTCAGGATTTATCTTGGTTGGCATGTGTTGCATACTTCATTCATTTTAACTAAGAAATGATATTCTAGTGTATGACTCTACCACCTCTTATTTAATCTTTATCATAATCTCATGAGGTAGGTATTTTTAATACCATTTTATAAATGAAAAACTAAAGTACAGAGAGGTTAAGTAACTTTACATAGGTAATATAGTTTCTAAGATGGAATGAGAACTTGTGCAGGGCCTCTAATTCCTAATCATATGTTTTTTCCACTCTATCATCCAACTATTTAACATGTATTATTTACTGAACACCTATGTGCCAGGCACTGTTTTAGGTCCTGGGTATCTAAGCAGTGACTGAAGCAGGACCCTGCTCTCAAGGAGTCTATATTTTCATTGGAGGATATAGTCAGTAAAATAGCGTGCAATATACCATTTGGTTCTAAGTGCTATGAAGAAAAATAAAGCAGGTGGAGGGGAAAACAGTGTGAGTGTGCTAGTCTCTATGAGGCTCTCTGGTGGAATTTCAGCACGTATCTGAAGAGAAGGGATGAGAGATGGTGTTCAAGCTCAAGGCAAAGGGTACAGCAAATGCAAAAATCCCTGAGGCAGGGGCATATATGACTTTCATTCCATAACTCTGATTTTTTAAAGATGCTGTAACAACACTCACCAAAGAACAAATAAAAGCACACTGCATGGCTTTGCCTGATTAAATGCATACTGTTAACATAGTAACAGTGTCTTAAGATAGCTATTTTTTTTAAATATAAACAAATTGGCTTGAGTTAGAAAATGTCTACAGCCAGAACCCATTGATTCACTTTAGACGCCTGTTAAGGTGTAAACATAGTACTGGTGCTGATTTGGTGAGACACGTATTAATGTAATTCAATCCCCTTTTTAAGTATTAAAGGTTAGGAGAATCCTCAAGGAAACCTAAGTGTTCTCAAGTTGAAAAAATCTGCTGAAACAGAAAGGACTGGCAAGAGCCTCGCCACCGCCCCCCCCACCCCTTTGCACGGTGTCTCAGAAAGGCTGCCAAGAGAGTGGGAAGAACACGAGAAACCTAACACCAGGGGTCTAGTCTTGAACTTGACCGATGTAACTATCTCAGTTCTCACGAGTGATACTAGGAGTCCAGCCTGGGGGCCCACCAGGCCCCTTTCCTCACATCCAGGTTCTCTTTTGCTGAGCCACCCAGGCCCGACTAACGGAGCCCAGAGGTAAAGCATCAGACTCCCAGCAAACCGCGCCCGTGCTCTAGGCACCACCGGAAGCTGCCGGAGAAAGTAGCCCCCGAGCGCGTCCGCCACTGACCCCGCCCGCACCCGGCGTCCGCGGAAAAGGGGAGGGCCTGGCGCGCGCGGAACCCTTCGCGGCTTCCGGCAGGAGCTTTGGCCCCGCGAGGTCCCGGCGGGCGCTGAGAGTTCCTATCCGACGGGGTTCCTGGAGACGCCGCAAGCCCGCCTCCGCGTAGTGGACGAGCGCCGCGCCTCCTCAGCATGGGCGAGCCAGGCTTGGAGCTGGCGTCCATGATCCCCGCCCTCCGGGAGCTGGGCAGGTAGGCCGGCTGGCCATCCTGGGCCCACGCCATCCCCTCGTGTGTGATCCCCGCCCGGCCACACCTCCCAGCCCGGTGTCCTCGGCAGGCACCCGGCCGCGGTGTTCTGGAGCTGACTAGCTCCTTTCCCTCAGGCCTCGAAGCACGCAGAGCGTCGCTGTGTACCTGCGGGAACGGGGTGAGGGGACAGGCCTCCGCGCCGCGGGAGCGTGTCCGCACGCGGGGCGGCCTTCTCCTCACGGCATTGCGGTCGCTGTATTATGTCCTTAGACGAGGGACTTGATCCTTGGACCCCAGTTTTTATTATTTATGATCGCTTACGCAGAAATTGGGTTTTTAGCTCCACGTTTCGACCCAGAACTACCCATGATTCTGTACAAGGAAGGGTAGTTGCTAGAAAAGGCAGTTTGTTTCTTTCTTCCAAGTGAAACCGCAGGCCATTCTGAAGATCGGACCCATTTCGTATTGATCATCCAGTCCCAGTCCGTTATTGTAGTCAGAAAGCCCTGGGGTCGGCCACAGTGTCCACAAAGTGCACAGGACGTTGCCAAAACGTGAAGACAGCCTAATATTTTTTCAGTTGCAGAAGCTTGTTTTCTGCAAACGTAAGAGAGACTATGAACCAGTGCTGCTCCGCAGTGGGGAAGCTGTTGGTGACTGCCTTGTGCACCAGGTCACCACCTTCCCACAACCTGCCCCCCAGCAGCCCGCCCTGTCCCACCCCAGCATGGCCGGAGCACGAAGGCAGGGCACTCCTGTTTGTGTGCTCTTTTTATTGTATCCCACTGCCAACAAGAAATACGTGGCTGGTATCGCTCTTGCACTTGAAATATCAGTTGGAACAATTGCTTCCCGATTTCTTAAACTGTTTGAAAACCTAGCACACAAAATCAAAACTGACTTGAAGCCAATGGAATATTTAATATCCTTTCATTTTTTTGGTGCAGTTGTGTTCATTTCCACTTGATGGCCACACAAGGACATTTAGTCTTCCTCAATTACATAATAAATATAAATGAAGGGACCATGCTTGTCTTAACTGAATCAAGCTGGTTTTGTACCTATGAATTTTTTCACTTTGCAAGAGTACTGCAAGCATACTTTGTATTGACATTTTTTAAAGTAACATCTACCTTTCTAAAAGAAGACGAGTACAAGTGCTCACTTTAGGAAGTTGATGTACAGATTTAATCTTTCAGGCTCAATGTGGAGCTCAGTATGTTTTGCTTTAATGTAAAGTTAGCTTATTAATACTTCTCTTTTCTTTCTTCCTCTGTGAGATTTGTTAATAAAAATAGTAGTATATTAGATTTATTTATGGTCTCATCAAGAGTTACCTTTCATTTCATTCATTTGTAGCTATTCTAAAAGAATGAATAGAAAAACTGACCCACAGGGAATTGTCTAGTAAAGTGTGTGATTGTCATGACTTTTTATTGCAAATGTTTCATTCAAGCTTATTGGGTCTCACAGTATCTCTATGGTGTAAAATATGGCAAATGTTATCACTATTAAGAAATGGAGTCACAAACGTTGAAGGACTAAAGGCAAAGCCATAGTAGTTACTAGAGTCATCTCAGATTCAAGTCTTCAAGAGCTTTTATCCTAAGTTTGTTTTTCTTTAATTGGCTGTGGCAGTTAAGACTTCTGAAAATAGTGAGATGTTACAGTTCTAATGTGTGGGTTTCATCTTCCTCTATCTCTCAGGTATAAATTTTGTTCCACTGTTTTTTGCTCTTAGCACTCTCTACGTGGTCTTCCTGCATGATTGCACCCATTCTCCTCCCTTGAAGTGCTATTTGATGACTGCAGATGTGTTTTGCCAAACTACATCTACCACCAGTAGAACTGTATGCACAACTGTATATTGGCAGTTTTACTAGGGTATCTAATATAAAGTTAAGACTTAACATATCCAATGCAAATTCTTCTCATATCTCAACCTTCTCAAGCCGTTTTTTTTTTTAAATTCTTCTGATTCACTCAGGTAGGGATATTTCAGCAAATGATATCATGTTCATTCAATTTTTCCAAACCAGAAATCTGGGAATCAGTTTTCACTCCCTGTGTGCTTTTGGGTTACATCCTTGGTTCTGTTTTCATCTTCATTCTCTTCCTGGGTAACTCTAGTCCCATTGCTTTATATCCTCTATATGCTGATAACTTGTAAATTTGTATCTCTGGCCCAGAGATATAAATTAGGTTGCTTACTCAGCATCTACACCCAGAAATGAAAACTAACATATCCAAAGCAGATCTCCTGATTTCCTCTTCCTTCCCCCCAGGTTATTGTACCAACCAAAAGTCTAGGAGTTATTCTTGATTCTTTCCCTTATCCCTAATAATCCATCAGCAAGTCTTGTCAATACTTCCTTTAAAATACACTTTTCATGTCCACTGCTACCACCATAATTTCTCATTTGGACTGTTGCAATAACCTCTCAGCTTATTTATTCATTTCCATTTTCACCCATTTACAGTGGTTTTCCTACTTGGCAGTCAAAGTGATTTTTATAACTGTAAATCACATTGTAGATATGTAACTACTCCTCTGCTCAAAACCATCCTTTGGTTTTCCAGCACAGTTAAAATAAAATCCAAATTCCTTAACCAAAGCCTCTGAATTCCTGTATGATACAGCCTCTGCCTATCTCTGACCTCATGGCCTTGTATCCTTCCCTTGCTCACTCTACTCCAATAATATTAACCTTATTTTTTGTGAATACCATGGTCATTCCTGTCTTCAGTCCTTCACACTTGCTATTTCTTCTATCTGAACACTGACTGGTTCCATTCCGATGTCATTTCTGAGGGGCCTTCTCTGACCTTGTGTTTAAAATTACTTTGTAATCACAAGGTATTTTCAGATAGTGATAATTGCTATTAAAATATTACCTGAGACAACAAGAGGGAGATAAGGGTCTGGGGAGCAGCAACATTAGCCACTAGAGGACATTTGGACAGTAAGAAAAATCCAGTCATTTAGAGCTAGGAGAAGTGTCTGAGATAGAATAGGAAGTATAAAGGCCCCTATGTGGGAGCGAACCTATTTTTTAAGGAATAGGAAGAATGCTGGAACATAGGGAGCAGAGGGGTTGGTATTAGTTAAGGATGGAGGGAGGAGACAGGGGCCAGATCCTTTAGAACCTTACAGGCCAGGATAAGGAGTGGGGTTTTATTTTAAGTGCAATAGGAAACCATTGGGATGTTTTAAAAAGGGAAATAACACAATTGAATTAATGTTTTAAAAACATGTTTAACCTTCTCTCTTCTAGTTAAGACCCTTCACTGTTTCATTGCCTTCAGTATGAAATCCAAACTTCCTTAGTTCATCCTTTTTTTTTTAAGATTTTATTTATTTATTTTTAGAGAGGGAAGGGAGGGAGATAGAGAGAGAGAGAGAGAGAGAGAGAGAGAGAGAAACATCAATGTGTGGTTGCTGGGGGTCATGGCCTGCAACCCAGGCATGTACCCTGACTGGGAATTGAACCTGCGACACTTTGGTTCGCAGCCCGTGCTCAATCCACTGAGCCACGCCAGCCAGGTCTTAGTTCATCCTTTGATCTTATCTTCCCCTCCAATTATTGCCTCCCTCTTCTTTTTTTTTTTTATATTTTAATCTGCTTTACCTCAGTTAAGCTCCACAGAACCCAATGAGATAAGTTCTATTATTATCATGCCCATTTTGCAGATGAGGAATTAATTCACTGTTAAGGTCACATAGCTAGGAAGTGGTAGGGCTGGCACTCAACTTGAGTTCTCTGGTGCTCCAAAACAGATATTTATACAAATAACGCACATACATTTTTATTGTAAAAAGTAATAATAATAAATGCAAACAATACTATAGCATAGAGAGTAAAGTATGAAAGTTCCCTTTATACTTCCATAAAGGTTTGATGTGTGTATTAGTTAAGTTTAGGTTTAACTGCATATAAAAAAATCAAAGTAACATAAGCTTAAACAAATACATTTATTTATTGGATTGGCCAAAAAGTTCATGGTTTTTTTTTCTGTAAAATAAAAGACAGCCTGGAAGGGCAACAGTGTGTTTTTTTCCCAGGTAAAAAGAGCTTCCTCAAAAATTCTCTTGCCCCATGATATCATCTTACTTCTAATTGGCCACTGTTATCCATAGGGAAGGCTGGGAAGTATAGTTTTAATTTTTTTAAATGTATTTACTTATTTATTTAATATTTCTTCTTTTTTTTTAGTTACAGTTGACATACATTATTACATTAGTTTCAGGTATATACCCCAGTGACATTACATGACTTACTAAGTGATCATCTTGACAAATCTTGCACTGGATCTGACACCATACATAAATATTAGAATATTATTGGCTATATTCCATATGCTGTACTTTATCCCCATGACTTCTATAACCACCAATTTGTACTTCTTAATCCCTTCACCCATCCCCCTGGGCCTTCTCTCATCTAGGAACCATCAAAATGTTCTCTGTGTCTATGACTCTGTTTCTGTTTCACTTATGTTTGTTGTGGGGAGCGGGGGGCTCTGCCCACAGAGCTCTCCTGGCCTCTGTGGATAAGAATGAGTCTTCCAAGACATGATCTGCTTGGGGAGGAAAGCTGACCATTCTCTTAGAGGAGAAAGGTGTTCAGCCCCTCTCTCAATGGGCTTTTATTGAGTTTAGCTTGCATAGGGATGCATAGCAAAAAAAAGGAGCTATGGTTTACAGATAACATTTCTGGGATCACAGGGGTCCTTTTGAGTCAGGGTCTGGTAGACAGGTGACACCAGTTGACTGTAAAACCTTGGGAAACAAACTTATTTTGTGATTGGACCCTTAAGATTTAAATTGAGGACATTCTTAGCAAAGCTGGTTTCACAGGACTTTATACATTATTTTATAGGCCTGATCACCCCACCATTGGGAACTGCTGGTTCTGGCACACGTCTGCACCCCCTTTCGGCATTGTTTTAGGCCTGAATCAGGCAGGGGAAGCAAGGTAGCCAAGAGATTAGGAGACTTT